ACCTACCGTAGAAAAAATAAACCCCCCCCCCCCCCCCCGTAAAAAAAAAAAAAAAGAACACCATCTGAGTGTTTTTATCTTTGAGCTGTCTTGCGTTAGCTAAAATTCAGATCGCATTTGCTGAAATGCCGTAAGCTTGATTATAGTCCCATGATTTTATTATGCTGATCGTCACAACTCTTTAGTCTTAGTTACTGAGGAAAATGGCTCTCGACCAGGATAAGAATAGATTTAGAGTACTCACAACTAAATTCTGGAGCTAACATGGAAACACAGAAACGAAGCAAAGACAACCCAACCAAAGAATTATAGCATAAACTACCAACCTTATATGTATTCCCGGTCTTAAGTTGCCCTATATTTTATGAGCTTGCTAGATTGGTATTGATTTTGATTCCTAATCATCTACATTATAAGAAATTCAACTTGTCTTTTGGCATCTGAATACATAAGGAACATTATTACCCACCCAAGCCAGCTTGCAAACATCTCTAACTCATAATGGTCTGAAAGAAAATCAAAAAATAGTAGTTACCTTATGTTCCTCTCTCATATTTTATTCGGCACCTGCTCAATGCATTTATTCCTAGTGTCATTTCTTAAAAATTGAGAAATCGTTGAAGCTAATTCCATTTCTTCTTGAGACATCCAAAATTGGTGAATTTTTCCTATTGTTTATCTTCTTTTAAATTTTGCCAGTCAACTCCCGATGTTTATCAAACATTTAGATGAACATCGGAATTCATCGGTATAATCTTTTACTGTCTTTTTTAACAAAAAAGTAATGTAGCATATACTGATGGATTCCATTGTTTATCATCATATGTTTCCTGACTTTGAATGATTGTCTCGATCTTCTTCCATGAGTTCATCTAGTAAGTTGACTATCCATTTTGTTTTCCTTTGAATTTAGTCTCTCCCAGCTAATCTATCCAAACTTTTCAGACAATAGAAACTTCAATATTGCGCTTAATTGTGTTCTGTTAACTGGGACTTACCTGAAATAGAGTTGCATAATGAGTCTGACGTCCTTTGATGGAAAAACCAGTTTATTTTAAAAAAATTTATGCTGCATAATTAGAAAAGATGGTGTTTTGGGAATTTAATAAATCAAACATCTAATACCCAGGGCAATCGAGCAACTTAGATTGATGAGGAAAACTCTTGGTTGCAGCCTCGAAAATCTTACTTGCAGATTGATCCATATGTTATCTATATGTCAATATGTCCTTGTTAATCAATGGATTGAAACCCCTGTCAACCCAATTTGAGCGTAATTCATTAGCATGAAAAGAGTTCTTATGTTGGAGTATTAAATTCTTTTTCCAGGTACATGGCCTTTTCTCTTGTTTCAAGTCACGGTCCACAAACAATGATGATGATTCATCCCATAATGTCGAGTTTGCTGGTGGAAATGTGTGCCTTATTACTACGAAAGAAAGTTGGGATCAGAAGTTGGCAGAAGCAAATAAAGAGGGCAAAATTGTGAGTATCATGACTCCCCCCTCTTTGCCATGTAGTGGGTGTGTGTGTATATGTACATACAAATATGTGTGTGTGTGTGTGAGAGAGAGAGAGTAATTTTTATTAAATGGATATTATTCCAGAAGTTGAAGAAACCTAAATTTTTATGCAGTCAGTTACTGGAAATATGTTCTTGCATTGTGATAGAGTCAAGCCTTTGCCCCTTGATTGAGGAATAAAACAATTATGAACCCAAATAGAGCATTTATTATAGGGAAAAGGGCCAAATTTACCCCTCATTTTTGAAATATTAGTCTGTGGCCATATGTACCCTCACCGTTAACACATTTTTAAAAACTACCCTAAAACCTAATGGATTCCAATTGGGTTATTTTATTTACCCGATTTTACTTCATTAACCCATAACCCATAGCCCATTTAACCCATTTTATAAAATAGAATGACCCGTATTATTTTAAATGTCTTAGGACATTTTATTCCATTTTGGAGAAAGACCGACGTGCGATGTCTTTTCAAGCAACTTGTGCAATGTTTCTTCCAAATCAGTAAGAGAAGTTCTCCGTAAAAATTGGGATAAAAGACCCATTAAAAGAAGGAACAAACGTAAACAACAATAAGAGAAATAGAAATAACAAAATTAACCAAAACACACAATATACAACTTAAAGCATACATATCAACACGTATTTGACAATTTTAGCACATACCCGAAACCCTAACACGAAAACACAACTCAGAAAACCCTAAACCAGTTATCTCAAAAACCCAACGACATAAATAGAACACAATCTTACAAGAAACCAACTAAAATAAACATAATCAGAGAAATTTAGGAAGAAAGATTGCACCTTTTGCAGCCTTTGATGAGAAATTTTGGAAGCAAAATCACAGAGGCATTAAAACCTAAGACATAGCACTTCGGTCTCTCCTTCAAAAATGGAATAAAATGTCTTGAGACATTTAGAAAAATGGGTCGATCCATTTTATATTATGGGTTACGGGTTTATGTGTTAATTAAGCGAAATCGGGTAAATAAAATAACCCGGTGAAAAATCCGTTAGGTTTGAGGGTATTTTCTAGAACTTTGTTAACGGTGAGGGTAAATTTGGCCACATAGTATAACGGAGGATAAATTGACCAATATTACAAAGTAGAGCGGTAAATTTCACTCTATTCCCTTTATTATACGAAGTGCACTAGCCAAATGTATGTTCGGCCGCTAAAAGCCTGATATCAGCTACTGTTTGGCGCCAGACATTGTTGAACTTTCAACTTTGCCCTCATTTTGATAAATGTTTGTGTTAGGACTTGGCAGGAGATAATGATCTAATTTGTTGTTTCTAAATCCTCTCTTTTGACTCACAGTTGCCTTTTTGAGAGTGAGAAAGAAAAGAGGGGGTTGTCTTTTGGGGGTTTGTTGGGGGGATAGGGGGTAGAGAGAAATTTATTGGGAGATTGTGGCAAGGTCGATTATTTAGGAGAATGGAGGGGTATTTGGTTGCGGTATTAGAACTAAACTCCCTTTAAAGATTCAGTTGGTCTTTGATGGATTTCTTTTTGGGTTTGGGTGGGTGGGTGGGTGGGTGGGGGGTTTCAGATGTGGTAAGCATATTCTAATATTGTTCAAGCTCGAGTTGATTTTGAAAATCTTCACTTGTTTATTTGATGAACCTACTTTATGGAGTTGACAATTCAACTCTATTAGCTAGGTTTCTAACTTACTCGCTTAGTCTACATGAACAGACTCGGTAACTATCAATTGCTAAAGGCATGTTAAAGTTTGGCTTGGTAAATTTTATGTCAATCTTGAACATGTGTCTTTATATGTCATTTATACTTCGTGGCCTGAGATAACAGTTAAAATTTCTATGTGCAGCACTTTTCTTTCCATTCATCAATTTCTTTTCGTGTTATAGGGAGATCATCTATGCAAAGCTAAATTGAAGTTTTAGGAGGATAAACCTTATTAAAAAAGAATTGGAGCTTTAGGAGAATAACTTGAAAAGCAATCAATTTTATGTAATACACTTCCTTTTAACCCTTTTAGTTTGTCCCAAAAAAAAATGACACCTTTCTCTTGTTGGAAACTATTAAGTATTAATTAAAGCATCCCCATTTACCCCTAATAAATGACTTGTTGGGACTCACCTGATATAAAAGCTTATTTTTCTGTAAGGAGAGAATAATGAAAAGACATGTAAAACTGTGACCACTACACATTTAAAAGGATAATTGTGGTACTTTGCAAAATTTGGCTTACATGTCAAAAGTCTTCTTTAATTTCTTAAATTGCATGTCCAGTTGAACATCTTCACATAAAATGGGACTGAGGGAGTATTATGTTTTATTTTGGGATAATACATAATTACCCCATTGAGGTTGTATCACTTTACCAGTTGCACCCCCAAATTTTGCGGGGGTCCTATGACCCCCCTATCATTGCTTGAAGTGAAATAAGTTCCCTCTTCTGAGCTTACGTGGCACCTATATCATTTTGCACATAATTTTAGCGCGTGTGAAGAAAAAATCTGCCCAAATCTAAATACTTTTTTATTTTTACTTTTTCCTTGTTTGCCTTTAACTTTTTCTTTTTATTTTCTTTCTTCTTCTCTATCTAAACAAAAATAAATACTTTTTATTTTTACTTTTTTTCATTTAAATTAGTTGATATCTCCTCCACCTCCACCCAATTCCATCCACCTTATCTCCAGCAAATTCTTCTCTATTTTTCTTTAAAAATAAATTAAAACCAAAAAAAGTTAATTTCTTAATCCCAAATTTCACTTTGAGAATAACCATCACCAGTAGACCACAAAATCGAAGCTAGTACTTTTATACTTTTTCCGGCGATACAGAGGGATGCGGGGGTGTGGGTTCTGGTGGTTCTCTATTCTCACATAAGTTCAAAGATTCTATCTAAAAGCAATGCATATACATTTGCTGGAGCAAAACACGTTTCAAGAGCAAAAATGGTGACACTATTTTTGCTAATAGCTTCTTCAAGATTTTGAAGCAAAATGGCTTTTAATGGGTTTGATGTAATTTTTGAATTTCTCAGATTTTGGTTAGATAATGATTTGGTGTTTATTTAGATTTTCAGATTTGGTTTGGTGGCAATTTGTGATAGAAATATCAATTAACAGTGGTGAATTTGATTTTCCGGTGGACATGGGTCGTGGTGACTGTGGCTATGGCGGAGCCACTGTTGTGTAGGAGAAGAAGAAAGCAAAAAAGAAAAGAAAAAAAGGGAAAAAAGAGAATGAAAATAATAAATAACAAAGAAAAATCAGTATGAGAAAAGAAATTACGTGGCAAAATGTGATTGGTGCGTGTTGTACACTAATTTTTTTGAAACTGGTTCTAATCACGGAAGGGGAAACTTATTTTACTTCAAGCAATGATAGGGGTGTCATAGGATCCCCGCAAAGTTTGAGGGTGCAACTGGTAAATTGGTACAACCTCAATGGGGTACCAATTATGTATTATCCCTTTATTTTGTGGAGGGAAAAATAAATAATCAGCATGAGGATCTTGCTTTCAGTACGCTTATGAATGATTTTGGTAGGACTGCGTAACATGATGTTGGTCACAAGAAAATTCTGAATGTTTTTATTTCATCAAGATGGAGAGTATGCTTTTCATGTTCACCATTTACTTGCCCTGCTGGTTGCTGCAGATATGTCAATGTGTAGGACATGCTTCTGGAATCCACATACTGATCCTTAAGTATTCATTGAAACTTGCTAAAAAATAAAAAACTGGAAGAAGTTGTGTCTTGTCCATACTCATATGCAAACTCACACCTCTATGCATGTAAATTAATTCTCAAGAAGGCCCAGTTGCATTAAAAAAAAAAAAAGTTAAGGCGCTTGTAAACTCTATAGGTGCCAAATTAAGGTCTCTCCCTCAAGCACGCTGGTGTGCTCACATGTGCAGGGAGAGGGATAAAGACAGAAAAATGCAGAGGTTTCCACATATAGTCTTTGTTTTTGCCTTGTTCTACTTTTTGCATTTTGCCTGCAGTGTTTTATAGCATTTTGGAACTTTCTAACGCAAGTGAAATGTTGGCAGGTTATTGCGAATTTCAGTGCTTCATGGTGTGGTCCATGTAGAATGATTGCCCCATTCTACTGTGAGCTGTCTGAGAAGTATCTTTCTCTGATGTTTCTAACAGTCGATGTTGATGAGCTTACAGTAAGTAGCAAGAATTTCAATTGAGAAATTTCAGAGTTCAATCCTATACCCTTCTGCTTCCCCGAGTAGCTAACTCTTTAGATCTCACTTTTGTATGTCTACTCTATTGAAACTCTGGCTATTTAAGTAATTCTTCTGGAGTCCCAGCGTCTGGGAGATAAATGAACAAGACTTGAATGTGTTTTATGATACGAACATAAATGTTACTTGATACCAACATTCATATGATACGAGTGTTTGTTTGATGTTTTGTTGGATTATTTTCCAACAGTAATCTGAAAGTTTTGGCAGCTCAAGTTCATTGTTTGTTCTTTTTTTTTTTTTTTTTTTTTTTTTTTTTTGTTTTTGTTTTGGGTTCAGGAATTTAGTTCATCCTGGGATATCAAAGCAACTCCTACCTTCTTTTTCCTCAAGGACAGCCAGCAGATTGACAAACTTGTAGGGGCCAACAAACCAGAGCTGCAGAAGAAAATAACCGCGATTGCAGACACACAGGTAGTATGTGAGACGCAACCGCAGTAATGGCTCTCGGAGGTGGGAATTTTCTTAAAATCCCTGCTTTCCATTTTTTTTTAATCATGATTTCAGGTCTCCGATGGGACTCCTTCCTTACTTTGAGTTGCTGTCATTATGTTGTACAGTTGTATGTTGAGTCACTACTAATTTCAGTCCATATTCAACCCCCCTCCTCTCTTTTTGGAACAAAAAAATAAATAAAAATAAAGAAGTTAAGAAAATGATGTGATCGGAATAAAAGTAGGGTTGCTTGTTTTTGATATTGTGATTATGAAGGAAGGTGCAATATGCAAAAAGTTTGTATCATAACGTGATTGACTTGTGTATATTCTATTCCTTGTCATTTTTGAATATATTCTTGTACAAATGCTTTGTGGAATTGTGGGGAAGATGCGGTGAACGGCTGTACCAAGCTTGCAAAGTATATTAACTAAAATGAACGTTTTGTTTGACTCTTAAATCACCATTAACAATTCCCTAGAAACTTTAATCCTGCGACCTTGTTTGGGAGTCACTATTTTTAATTTAAGATATCTACGGTAAACCGAACACCATTTCCTTAATCATTTTATAATGTTTTACCAAATCGCAAGCGTAGAAGGTGCTGACACCATATTTACATAGTGCATAATTAATCGTAAGATATAGTTTAGAATGTAACCAACGACAGCACGAAACATACATTACGAAAAAGTAAAACAATGGCAAACGGCCAAAATCTAGCATGTGAAGTAATTCAATTGGAGGCCCTGTCTGGCATATGCATCTCCAAATATCCTTCAAAGACAAGGAACTATTTTATTATTCGTTCTCAATATTTAAATCAGACCAATAAATATATATAGTATATGCTTTTTTATATATAACTAGTACAAATCCTATATCAGAATGTGAATAATATTTGAAAGCATAACATAACGTCAAATATTTATTTTGTAAAAAGTGTAAACTTTTATTTTTAGAAAACAAAGGAAGTACACTACCAAATCAATACATAAACAGCCCCTCCAAGTTGTCCACAACGGTTAGTTGAACACCTCAACTGAGACTATTTCCAGTTAAACACTTCAAGTGGCTATTAAGTAGGTCAAGTAAACTGAAAATAGTCTCAGTTGAGGTGTTCAACTGACCGTTGTGGACAACTTGAAGGGGCCGTTTATGTATTTCGCCATATATATATTGCTGAGTCAAATTTCGTAAATTTTGATCGAAATACAGAATAAAATTCATGCGTTAAATGCAGAGACATTCAAAATACAAAAATATCAATAACGCATCCCTTAGTGGAGTTGCGGCATTTCATAAAAAATATCTTCATTAGTGAGTTGCAAGAGGATACAACACAGATATCGTGAAGATCTTCTCATACAAACATAACAATGTCGCATGCAACACATAGCGATCCTTTGGTCGTCAACGTACGCTCGTAATGTAGCCGAAGTCAAATATTTTTTGTCAATATTTGGAGCAACATCTTGTTTACGGTCGAAATCGTATGCATCCGATCTATGGGCTCGAGGGATCATTTTGAGCCCGAGTTCGGGCAAGGTCAAGTTCGAGCTCGAGGGACCAGATCCGAGCTCGAGGACAGAGTGCAATGCCCGAAGACTGAAGCACGACGTACACCGAGGCCGAGTATGCTCGATCCCGAAATTGTACCGTTGAGGATTTGTAATAGAACGAGCTAGATTCCTGCCACGTCCCCAAGATCGTGGCGCAAATCCCGGAATATGATTGTACGATTCCGTACTAGGCGGTTAGACAGCTGTATCAGGAATATTTCCGACTGTAAATAGAAATATTCCATATTTAGGATTCCCCTACTTGTCTCTTTCATTTCTACTTCATATTTCTTGATTATTAATTGGTATTGAATCTAATCACGTATCTTTAAAACCACAAATCAAATTTAACTGTTACTCGTATTTTCGAGGTAAACAGTTTGGCGCCCACCGTGGGGCTAAAGATAATAGTGATTGTTTCTTTACTAATTCTTATTACACACGTTATTTTTACATTTTTTCTTGTCAAGAATTTTTTATTCTCAAGCTAAAATATGTCTAGCTCACAAAATACACCTGCTCATGACAACGAAGGTCTTGGTGAAAACAACAATGTAGGGGTCGGTGTACCACCGATAAACCTGGGGAAGTGCCAAACATGGAACCAGTTGATGTTAGTTCTCATATTTTTCTAAACGCGGATTTAGGCATAGACCCTGGTGTCGCGCCCCCTTTTTCCTTCGCGGAATCGGGTTTGTGACATTCGATTGGGACAACTCTTTCCTTTTGGGAAAGGGGTTTGCAATTTTGAAGAGTCGCCACCTAACGATTTTAAGGTGCGTTAGGGCACCTATGGGGTTTAACTACAACTATGTTTGATAACCAGAGATAGGGTAAGGGCTTGAAATTATCCCAAGGGGAAGGTGTTAGGCACCCCTCAGGATCCACTAGTGTGGTTCCTGGCCAGATAGTTCTTTGTGAATTTGTGCAATTAACAAGTAAACAAACAAGGCTCAAATAAGAGGAGATTTCAAATACACAAGTGTTTGGAAATGATAAAATGTAGCAAAGTTTTGAAAGAGTTATAACTAAGCATGCTGACGAATACAAAGGGAGTCCTAGGTTTATTTGTAATATGGATCACATCAATGCAATACCCGATAATCACTCCTCAAAAGAGGAGCTACACGTGGTATTAACGCATCGTTCATCATATCCATATCTACCCTTCCCACCCCGTTAAGGTATTAAAGCGCGGATTGGTCTCGACCTCTATTGCATGCTATTACCCGTCCCATTCCTATCAGTCCTGGAGGAGCTTGGGACTACTATTTCTATAAGAGGGAGGATTTTAGGCTGACTCTTGGGTTTTTAAAGGTGAAAAAGACTAAGGCGACATTCAAAACACATAGGACTGCATATTAGGGGAAACATGTAAACAACTAAGAGGCCCATACATACCTCCTCAAGTAAAACACATAAATAGCATGACTTAAACACATTTAGGGTTAGAATTTAAAGTACTAAGACAGGGGAGTTTTAGTTGTTGAAGCAGACCAATTTATTACGTAACTCAGATAAGAAGTCCGAATCAGGCCTGCCTGCTGGTTGTAGCAGTTGCTAATTAACAAAGGCGGATTCAGTTTTATCATTATTACCTAAGGCTTGCCTAAGTGTGTATTAATGATACCCTATAAGCATGATATCTATTACTGATTCAAAATGGCAAAGCAATAACAGTTTTAAACGAGCAATTTGGATTCTATAGGCATGCTTTCTAAACCACATTAATGAAAGGAGTAAATTGTTTAAACTGATTCAAAACAGTACGAGTCAAACTGATTTTTAACTAAACTGGCTTCAGATCCTATAGACATAATCTCTATTGTTGCTGATTTTAATCCCTACAGACATGGTATCTAGTATTAAAGGATGATTTGGTCTTATAGGCATGATATCTAATTGAACATGAAATGAAGCAGGCATGATTTACAGCGAAATTCTTATAGGCATGATTTCTATAAAATACTGATTTTAATCCTATAGACATGACATCTAATTTCAAAGCTGATTTTAACCTTGTAGACATGATGTCTGATCATAGCCATTAGATCCTATAGAAATGATTTCTAAGTGTGGAGGTAAACATGCGGAACATTATTAATCAGATCCTATAGGTAGGATATCTAAGCATAGAGGTAAAGCGTGCAGAAATTTATTAAACAGATCCTATAGGCAGGATATCTAAGTGTGAAAGTAAAACATGCAGAATTTGAAAACAGACCCTATAGGCATGTTATCTACCCTCCTAATAGCTAAAACATACATAATTACCCCGTCCCTTTTCACTAGCCAACCCCAATATTTATTACAAATTATTACAGACCAAATACTGAATTACAAAAGTTACAACCATAGGAAGCTTGATTTCTAACTTCCTCTCTGAGTTATGGAATAAACCACCTCAAATGCCACTTGTTTCAAAGCCTTTCTTAGACCTGGGTGTGTCAAAGTTCCCTAAGGGCCTCAAGGGACCCCGGGCAGTGCTTACACCCAGGTTTGCATAACCATATAGAGATGAGTGCAGTGTGGAAGGGCCAACCCTTATGTGTCCAAGTTCAGAGGGAGCTCAAGGGTCACAAGGCAAGGCTCACACAAGAGGGGCAGAACTTAGGTTCTAAGAGTATAGTGGAAGTGCAGAAACAGAGATTTATTTTAATACCAGGTTGAGAATAGTAAAGGGTAAGGGTGATTTGGAAACAGTAGTAGTAAAACTTAAACTACACAGAATCAGTAGTTGCACAAAGGGGTCTGGGGTTTTGGGAATACATTGCATGAAGCATATGACCCTAGGAGGGGTCAGGTTTGAACATGCACAACAATAGATGATGCTGGCATGCCCACAAACCAGCCAGAGAACACAAACACAAAGAGGGGATGTGGGGTTTGGGATTCATACACATAGGAGAGCATTAATCTAAAAATGGAAGGGGACACATTTCAACATGCTAGTAATGTAACTTGATTGCAGAAACATAAGCAGAAGTGGATAAACATGAGAGAAGTTGGAACAATTACAGAAACATGTTGTTGTTGATGCTTGAAAATTAATTAGGACATACCAGTAAAGAAGCAAAGTGCAGAAAGGAAAAGTAAGAAAATTTCAACAGTCTAGCCTTGGCTTTTAGCCGGCTAGACAAAGTAGTAGCACAAGTAGTAATAGAGAAAAGAGAGTTTTAAGTGAAGTGTGTGTCCTGAACTCAGATGGTTCCTCTCGTTTGAAAGAAGAGGAGGGTGGATATTTATAGCTTTTGAAAACGAGTGAAAATAAGGTAATAAGTAAAGTCTTAACACAAACATGGAAACAATCACAAGTCAGAATCAATTAACCTAAGCGATTCCCTTTAATTAAGGAATCATGGCTTAACGCGTACTAACAGGTTTCAATTAAGGAAAGAAAATCAGTTTGGGGACAAATTGATTATTGCCATAAAAGGGGTAGTAAAAGCATGCAGTAAACAATCAAGTCTAAGTACAAAGAGGCTTATTTTGAAAAGGGTTCAACAAGGTAAAATATCGCAGTAAAGGAAAAGGAATCAATTAATTTAAACAAGCGAGTAGAAATCAGGGTTTGTAAGAAAACTTTTGCAATCAGTCTCAATATCAAGATCAATCAAGGAAGATCAATCAGTATATAAATAGAGTGAACAGAAGCATCAGGCATGCGAGCCCAAGCACATTGGCAAAAGAAACAACATATAATAGTAGCAGAAATAAGCATAGGATTCAGTAGTGAACAAAGTTAGATAGTCCGGGCTCATACATATTAGCCAAAACGAAGAAGAGAGTCAAATACAAGTATAGGTCTCACAGCAAC